AGTTTATATCCGGTTTCTATACATTGCGTTCTTTATATTCCCCGTATTTTATAACAATAGCATTTTATTAGCGAATAACTCAGTTTTTTAAACCTTCTGTTTATTTATTAAACTAGTTGAGCCAAGTTGAGTACGTAGGCTCGTATTAAACGAGCACAAGCTCAATATGATCTACTCAATTAGGTTCGTCTCGAATAACAAGTGTAGTGTTGGTCACCATTTAATAAGAGTTTTGTAGTTGGGCACCATTTATAATGGTGTACAATTGAATTGTAATGTTTAAATATGCCATGTGAAAAGAAACTGTAAAAATTTCGGGCTTACCTGATTATTGAAAAATGCCTCTAATAGAAGGTATGCAGATGAAGTGTTGACAAGATCATTTACTATTGTTATTGTCCGAGATGCCATGAAAGCATTTGCGTGGTACCTGCAATATATTCATACCAAAGTTTTGCAGTAATGAGCTTAACGCGATCGCCATAATCCTCGAGTGCTTTCTTGAGGGGCGGCCATGAATCTCGGCTGTCGGGGCAAACCGGGTCTAAAAATGCCTCTATCAGTATCTGACCCGGCTCGAGTCTTTTGTCCCCATACCATAGCCCGTCCGGCCTAGCTGGTATATTGAATTGGCCCGAAATTGGAGATGACAAACACAATAACAATAACAGAACAACACTTAATTTTTTGCTTCTCAATCCCATATTTATTTCCTCTTATTGTGACGTCAAAACTATCACACGATATACACTAGCAAGTGGCACTGCGCAATGAAAATTAAATCGGAGAAACGCGGATATTTAACCATGTTTTCTACATCTTTTTTCCTTAAAAAAATATAAGGTCTATTTGAAAAACTCAGAGCTTGATTCGGTCAAAAGCATAATCTTTTTGAAAAAATGAACATTACTTTGTGCGGTTCGAGCCAATCAAATTGCGGTCATCGAGTGGGGAATTATTTTAACCTAAATGTTTACCATCAAAATAATTCCTTTGAATTTTTACTATTTTCGGAAGAATTTTTTCAATATTGTTACATGGATTTCCGTGATTTTGTTTGTAATATTCATGACTTTTTGAGTGGAGTAGAATTGTACAATTTCGTTTCTATTGACCACAATTTTTTTTTTTTTTTATACGAAGAAGGAGGTTAAAGACTAAGACCATCAGACTGTTACGTTCCGTGGGTACGCCACTCCAACGAGGTCATGTTGTAACTACGGTTTAACTACTGATGGTGGATCGAATAACCATTGACATCCACTGGGGCAATGACGAGCTAGAGTCGTCAAGCAATCCGCTGCAAAGTTAACTTCTCTATAACAATGAGACATATTCACCTCTCAGTCCCGATGAAGCAAGTCTCGTATGGCACGGACCAGGCTGCCACGCACTCCAAGATTTTTCGTTAGCCCCCTTGCGGCCATCGCCACCACACTCATATTGTCTACCTCCACGATAGCCTTGCGACACCCCAAGTCCCAGGCAAGCAACAAACCTTGGAGGAATCCCCATAACTTTGCGCCCGTAATAGAGCAGTACCCAATATTCATCACAACTCCCCCAAGCCAATGACCTTCGGTATCACGAATCAACCCCCCAGCGAATGCCATTCCATACGAAGCTAAAAAGGAACCATTCGTGTTAATTTTGACCATTCCGCTTCCAGGAGCTTCCCATCGAATAAACTGAACCTTATGGCCCATGCCGAGGCCGCCCAAGTGTCGCTCAGCCGAGGTGGTCAATTGGATGCCATGAACAAATGAACGAACATCCCGGACTCGCTTAACGACATTAAACTCCTTGTCGGAAAAAATCTTTTCATTGCGCGCGGCCCCTCCAAATTTGCCACATCGTGACACCAAATGTAGTCTCCCAATCAGCAGTGCCAATATTCAAACCATTTTGTAGGTTCCGGAGCAACCAGTCGCGCAACGGTAGGGTAAAAAAACTCAGGATATCGGTTAGCAGATAGTAAGCTGCACCATACCTTTGTTGCCCCTACATAGTCCCGAAGGCAGTGGAGGGTTGTCTATTGACCACAATTTGTTTGAAAATGTAATCCCGAAGTCAAATTTGGTCTCTTTTACTCACCAGAATATGATAGTATAACATTCTTTAATCAGTCTTATCCGGTGTTTGCTAACAGAGATCAAGATTGGGATAATCATATGTGGTAGGTGGGCACACGTCTGTACCCATTACTGACAAGATTATTCTATCACATCTTGAGGGTGAAATATTTTTATCCCAACGCAAAAATGAATTTTATTTTTGTCCAAAATACCACATGTATAATCGTCTATTATACATTTAAATGTCCAAATAATTACAGATTTAATAAAGTTGACTCATTGGATTAAACCATCTTATATCATTCTATCCTATCTTATCCCTTCAAGTAAATGAATTCGCTTTGTCATAATTTTGAGAAATTTAAGAGTATCTCCAATGGTTCATAGATTGCTCTATTTTATTGTCATGTGACACGAAATATTTTATGTGGCATTGTTTGTTATGTTTTGTGCTTATTGTTATGTATTTATGTGTGTTACCGAGTCGAGTTTAGGTTCGTTTTAGTGTCGACCGGTCCATTTTGTCGCATTTTGTGTGATTTTCTGTTTTTCGTTTCATTTTATATTGTGGCGTACTTTTCCGTGCCTTTGGTATATTTTCAGGTTTATTCCGAGGTTGAATGAGGCGAGTCGAACCGGATCCCAAGAGACGAGCAATTTCGAATCATTCGGACGAACCATTTCCAGTCGAGCATTTCGAGTCCATAGTCGAGCCGGATGTGCCTTGACCTGCCCAGAACTCACGACCTCGCGCCATGATCCGCTACCTCGCGAACGGTTACAATGTGCCAGCACGCCCAGTGCGCCGCGTGCCCACGGACGGCGGCGCGACGTCGAGAGTGTCCGCGTGCCGCGCCTCGCACATGCTATCGTCTTCACGCCCATGCCCCTTACTCGCGACCACGCGGAACTGCTGGCGACGTCGAGAGCGCCCGCGAACCTTGCACGCACGCAGCAGCCAATCGCACGTACGCCCCAAGCCGCGACCTCGCGGGAACTGCCGCGAAGCCGAGAGTCCCGTGTTACTCCTGCCCAACACGCTCGCGTGGTCGCGAATTCCCCCGCTATGTCGAGAGTGTGCCGAGTCGTCCAAGCTCGTCTACTGCCGCACGCCCCCCATGCACCAACCCTGCGCACGCCCGCGCCCGTGTCACGCACGCCCGCACCTCCGTGCCTTTCACTGCCCGCGCCCTCGCGGAATTCACGGCGAGCTCGAGAGTGTCGCTCCCGTGCACATCACCACCGCAAGCTCGCGGATTTCGTAGCTAGCTCGGGAGTGTCCCATTTTAAACTGCATTTTTTAGTGTGTGTTTTGAGAAGAGTATAAATATTTTTGGGAAACTAACTTATGTTTATTTTTGCTCTCTAGATTAGGAGCTTATGCTATTTTCCGGGAGATTTTCCGGCGACTTCGGTTTCGTTCGAGTTTCGAGCTTTTGACTCCATTTTTCATCGTCTACGCAATGAGAGATTGAGTATTTAGTTTTAAAGCTCTTTACTTCGGTTTTTGCTCCGGTTTTACTTATAATGTTCATTAGAGTAAATTGGATTTGATTGATGATGGTGGAAATGCTTGAACTTGATTTCTTGCTTGAGTAGATAGAGTCGTTAATTGCTTGTTGATCTCGGTTAGACGACTAGGGTTAGCAATCTAATGCTCGTAGCTCATTTATTCCATTTGTCGATTGATTATCATCTCGATATGGTCATGGCATGAGACTCCGGTAATCTAGTTTGCTAAATGCTCGCGATTTCATCTTGCTTCTAGTTGTTTGCTCGTTTTTAAGTGCTCGTTTAGTGTTAGTCAACCATCCAATCAATTGCTTAGAATGTTTAGGACTTTATTTTCCTTTTTTGTGATTGGGACAATCATTTAGTAGACAAAGCTCCGAATAGCCTTCCTTCGAGATCGACCCGAGTCGGGTAGCTCGGTTGTCCCTTGCCCATCAAATCTTTACTAAACAAATGGCGCCGTTGCCGGGGAAGGCAAGTAGGACGCCTAGTTTGCTATTTGATTGTCTCTTTTTCTTGTGTTTCTCTTGATTTTTTGTGAACCTTGGTTAATTTATGTGTTTCTCTTGATTTCTCTTGCTTTTTGTCGATAATTTGTGTTTGTTTCTTGAGCTTTATCTCGTTTTCCATTGGTGCGTTCACGGGTATAGTTGTTGTTGGTGTTTATGCGAGGTAGACGAAGGCGTGCACCCGTAGAGGAGACACCATCGATTGACCTTTTCGTTGAGCTTAATATCGAGGAGCCACAACCGCAACCCAAAACCAAAACAATGGCGGGACAAGGAGAGCAACTTCCACAACCTCCCCCGAACATGAGGTACTTCGCACGACCTATCATTGGAGACAACACCTCGTGCCTCGTGCTCGAGGAGGCGGTCCGAAACTATGATCTCAAGACCATCCACCTAAACCAACTCCCATCATTCTACGGCCTAGCCCAAGAGGATGCTCTCAACTTCATCCGAGACTTCTATGCAACCGTCAACACATTCCCACTCCAAGGCCTAACCGAGAACCAACTCCAAATGAGGTGCTTCCCTTACACCTTGAAAGACCGAGCCAAGACTTGGTTCATGACATTGCTTCCGAGCTCGCTCGATACGTGGGAAGCCGTCTACGAGAAGTTCATGAGCAAGTACTACTCTCATCAAAAGACCACCGACCTCCGGACTCAAATGGCTAGCTTTAGCCAAAATATCGGTGAGACCTTCCACGAAGCTTGGGAACGATTCAAGGGCTATCAACTCCAATGTCCACATCACCACTTTTGCCTCGGTGTGCTCAGCCAATTCTTCTACGATGGTCTCCACCAAACTCTTCAATACATGGTCGATCATGCGGCCGGTGGAGATATATGGAGCCATACGGAGGAGGAAATCTATAACCTATATGAGATGTTGAGCGAGAATTTGCAACGGAAGAGCGTTCGTAAGAGGGCCCCCGTTAATGAGGCTACACAAACTACCGGGTCCTCGAACGATGTCTTTCTTCCCAAGCTTGCCTCATTGGAGGAGAAACTCAAACAACTCCGGCTACGAGATGCAAAGTCGACCCAAGTGGTGATGGCCGAGGTGTGCGGTTGTTGTGGAGAGGCCGGCCATGGAGGCCACGAGTGTCCGAATTATATGGTGTCGGCCTACGACCCAAATCTTGAAGGAGTTCCCTACGACATCAATGCTATTCAAGGGTACGCCCCCCGGGTCTAAAATGATCCTTACTCGAACACCTACAATCCCGGGTGGCGAAACCACCCCAACTTTTCATGGAGGGACCCGAAAGCCACCTACCCACCCCAACCGGCACCACAACAAGCCTATTCCCAACCTCAATAATATGCTCAACCGAACAACTAACCACCGTTCCAACCGAGACCCGAATTCCAAGGCTATCAACTGAGGCCCGAGTTTCAAGGATATCCACAAGGGCGTGGAGGCTTCATCCCGAGGCAACCTTTGCCACCTCCACTCGAGCCCGAGAGGAATGCTAACGGAGAATCCTCGGAGACTCGGATCGAAAGCTTAGAGAAGTGCCTTCAATCATTGGCCTCCACCGTCTCCACATTGCACGACACCATCAAGGGAGTGCCATCGATTCAAGCCTCTCTTAAATGCCTCGAG